CTTTTTTGCGATGTTTGCTTTAATTTTATTTTGTTTTTTTATCATCAATTCTCTATTACCTCGTTTATCTTTTAATGAGGTTGATCCATGTCGAAGAAACAACATAACCCTAGTTGCTTCATAACCTATCCAATTAGACAGTAAAAATGTTTTTATCCATGCTTAAATATTTTCCAGAGCTCTATCGACCTTTGAAATTTTAAATATAACGTTTATGTGTATTAAGTTAATGTATAGTTTGTTGAATTATGTGTATTAAAAATAATTTGATGAGAATTTCGGTTGGACGACCACCATGTTTGAATAATTACTTCTAAGTTAAATTTGTAGAACGGGAAGTGTAATACGATTGAATAATTAATACTACACTCCTCCCTTCTTCCTGTCATAAATTTAAAACTTTAATAACTTTTTAAACCATTTTTCAAAACTGATTATCGGCCAGTAAAAATGTTAAGAGAGTTATTTGTAGTTTTAACAGTTAGTTAAAAAAGGCAAACACTTCAATACTGTTTTATACTGTAAAATATCATAAAATCACTAAAATGTCGCCCAAAAGAAAAATATATCAATTTTAGATAAATTAAGTGTGTTACGGTTACGTTAAATTATAAAGTTGTATTTGAATACATTTTTCTCTAAACCCATTTATACATGATAATCATTTTATAGTGAACAACTCAATACCTCGATGGGTTTAATTAATAGTTTAATTTTTTTTTGTCATTCTTTTTTTTACACAACATGATCTCAATTTTCCTCAAATTTGTACGTTTCTAACTTTGGTGTCTGTCTGAAGTGTTTTTGAAAATTATAATATGTTACAGTAATTTAAATTTGAAAACTATAAGTGGTGATGAGTAAATTTCTTTATTTGTGAATTTTAATGATTGTTAATTTTTTTTTTTATATTTATTATTTGATTATAAGTCTGCGTAAAAACATTAAACCTTAGTAAAGTGATACTCACCCAATTTTAGCATAATTTTACCCGCTACATCGCAGTATCGGGTTTTCGAGCTGAGCAACGGACAAAATAATGAATCGACTATGGCTACTGCCAACAACAAAGATACCAAACACAAGTACTTCCCCATTGTATCAGGTCCTGTGAAAATAAAGAAATATTCAAATTAATACCGGATGACAACGATTAGCATTTTTTTAATTTTTTTTTTTGGTTAACTGAATGCATAATAACTCAAAAATATTGTGTCAAAATTTCAAGTCGATCGGAACGAAATTGACGACGTTAACTTTAAAGCGTTTTTCCCACAACTCACGTTTTCAAAGTCGGTGACCCTCATAACTTCAAAACTACTACACCGATCCTTTTGAAATTTTGAACACTATTTCTGTACGTAACTTACGAGGTGTAATGCCGGAGATTTTTTTTCAAATTTGTTAATATTTTTTATTTTACAATAACACATTTGCCGATTTTTTTCGCAAAAATCTCGTTTTTCCCTTCAGTGTTCCCAAAAAGTGAAAAATTGAAATTTCAAAAAACCCTCCCGGCGTTACCCGGGGAAATCAATTATCTAACGAAAGAACTTGATTTTTTTAATTTCGGATGATCCAGCATCGAGTTATGAGGGACATCGCAATTTAATGTACCATTAGTTTTAACAAATAGATTTTAACTGTGTCGTCAAAAATTCACAAAAATTTGCCGTTTTTTGCACGAATTAACTTTACCCCCCCCCCCTTAATTTAACAAAATTTAGAACATAATATTTTATTTTTTTCCGGATTACCCTGTCTGTAATTATTTGCCAACACAGTCAAGTCGAAATTTAAGAGGATGCCGCAAACACTAGTTTTTAAGGATTTCGTTGTAAGACAATATTCTCTGAATAAACTTTATGAGTAATTCTAAAATTATTGTTCTCACATTAATTATGATTGTATGGAGGATATACTTGATTAGTAGTTCCACTTTTTTATCAGACTATCATTCCTTACCTTTATTAATACAGCGTTAATTATTAAAAAAAAAAAACCTCTCGCACTAAAGTATATCTTCGGCAAACAGTTTTTGAAAAATAATTTTTATATTTGTATAACAATATTTAATATCATCATTCGGGTATAAAGATGTTTTTTTTTACAAAATTTACTATAATACACAGGTTTTTCTATTCGCATAAAGATCATATCGATTACGTATCCTCTATTTTTGTTCATCATAGTTTATTTTCCACAACATGTTTATGCCTTTGTAATGGCGTTAACACATATAGACATTCTAAATCGTTTTTGGTAAAACAACAATTCGCATAAACAGCATGACCTAAATGCTTATTTTTTGGCTATAAAAATGAACTTGCGACCGCATGTTTTTGTGCCTAAATACACATTTGGATATATTTTCAACGAGCTTTTTTTTTATTGAAGAAACACATTTTTGGTAATGTTACAAATTAATAAAAAAATTGTACTCTTTGATTTATAATATATATCAATCTTACAAAATCTAGGCACAGTGTAATTTTTTTTCTGGGTTCCATATTTTCCGTCCGTAATTATGACTTGAAAAAAAATGTCTAAAAAGGAACACACTACAATTCAAATTCGTTAAAAAAAATATAAAAGATACAAAATTAGTTTTAATTACAACAATTTGGCGGATAGTGTACAAGTACATGAGACCTGTTCGTTAAGCATAGACCTACATTCAAGTTTAATCACGGCGAAATCATATTTTTGGCCAGACTGTAATTTTTAACACCACATTATGAACTATTATTCAATTTTTTATTGATTGGGCAATCCGGTAAAAATGTCAATGTAATTTTTGTTATTTCATTCTTTATACCGTCGGAGTTTATTGGAAATGTGTTGATAATACGCCTTGTTTGAACAATTTATTAAGATTAAATTTTAAAAATGCTATTGAGCACCAATTATTTGAAGAGGTTAGACCCGAAATCTTGGATATTAATTAAGACCCTATTCTTCAGTAGGACAGACAGCTTAAAGCAGATTGTCATGGCAAATTCTCCATTTGTTAATTTTGCTTTCTATTCAAATGCGATACCAAAAATGATATGACTATTGGGTAGTACTAATTACAGCATACTTCTTGTTTGAATAATTATAACTTTTAATTACATATACAATGAATCCCAAAAAGAGTTTCCCAAAATTATTCAATTTTTTGTTTCGCTATTCACCTAGACATCACAGCGTTGTCGTTGTCCTACATTTTTGTATATTTTCCGCAACATGTTTGTGCCTTAAACACATCTGGACAGTCAAAATCCACAACGATACGCACAAACATCACCGCAATGACCTAAATTTTTTGGTGTTTTTGTTTTACTATCAAAAATTACTTGCAGCAAAACGTTTTTGTGTTCAAATAATACTAAAAAGACATCTGGAAACCAAAATATGTTTTCGACAAGCGTTTTTTTCTGAAAAATACGTTTTTCGTAAAGTTTTGTAAAGTAGATTCGGAGTTAATCTAACAAAATTTAGGAGACAATATATTTTATTTTCCAGGTCCTATATTTCCCCTTCTGTAGTTATGAGCCAACTGGCCAATCGAAAGTTAAGAGGATGCCGCATATACTAGTTTTTAAGGCTTTCGTTCTAGACAAAATTTTTTGAACAAAATTTATGTAGTTCTAAAATTGTTATTTTTACATTAATTATGATAGTATTGAGGATACTTGATTTGTAGTTCCATTTTTTTATCACACATTCATTCCTAACCTATATTAATATAGACTTATTAAAATAAAACAACCTTTCGCACTAAGTATATCTTTGAAAATAATTGTTATATTTGTATAACAATATTTAATATCATCATTCGGGTATAAAGATGTTTTTTTTTTTTTTATTTACAAATTTACTATAATACACAGGTTTTTCCAATCGAATAAAGATCATAGCGATAACGTATCCTGTTTTTTTGTTTGTCATAGTTTATTTTCCACAACACGTTTGGTAAAACAACAAAAATTCGTATAAACAGCACCAACATGACCTGAATTCTTATTTTTTTGGCTATCAAAATGAACTTGCGACAGCATATTTTTGTCCCTTAATACACAACAAATTGGTGATACTGTACAAGTACATGAAAACTGTTCACTAAACATATACATTAAAGTTGAAACATGCGATATCATATTTGTGGCCATACTGTAATTTTTAATCACATATCGGGTAATCTGGTAAAAATGTCTTATGTATTTTTTGTTGTTGCGCTCTTTATACTATCGGTTTAATTAAAACTGTGTTAATAATACACCTTGTTTGAATAATTTATTAAAATTAAATTTTAAAAATGCAATTGAACACCAAGTATTTGAAGAGGTTGAAAAAAAAGCTTAATATTTAAATTAAACCCTATTATTCAGTAAGGTCAGCTTAAATCAGATTGTTTTTGCAAATTCTCCATTTCTTAATTTTGCTGTCTATTCAAATACGACACCTTTCAAATGTAGGTATATAATTCGGTATAATATTCTTATGATAATTTGTTAATTACTAACATGCAGTGTGTAATGTAAAGTTCCACCGAGCTTCACATGATGCATTATGGGTACAATCAATGATATTCATTTTTTAATTAATTAAAATAGAGCTAGCATCTCTTTAAAAAATATTCTAACGTAAAAAATAATTTCAAATTTGAAATAAAGAAAATCTTGTTGAATTGATATGTAACATGATTTTTTTGGTATATGGCCACACTTGCGTCCACCGAGTGGCCACTGAGTGGTCAGCATGTGACCGAAACCAACATATGGCATGCGACACATGTTGGTTTTAGTCACTACTCGGTATTTGCTTTGTTGACGGTGGGCCGACATTTAAAATTGGCCTTAAATCTTCAATAGATAATAAATGTTTATTTTGGCCAAATAATGTAAATTCAATTGGCGGTAAATATGCCGTGTGTATTGTTTAACTATACGTGACAATTAAAAATATAAACAACGATTTTTAATATATAGTTTAAAATAAACAATAAAGTTTCAATCAAACAAAACAAGTGTATTATAATTTACAAATCATCAATACATTAGTTTTATACACAATATTTCACGTCTTCTATGAAAAAAGCGATGGGGTGATATAGTTCATGGTCGGCAACTGCATAATATTCTAAAGTTTTTAATTCATTATTGTCTTTCTTCTCATTTATTTTCTTTTTCGTTATATCGAGTAAAATAGCATGTGCTTCTTTATCATTGACTGGATTTCCTTCTTCTAATCCACGACGAACTTGGTCCCAGGCCTCGGTAACCCGTGCAATAAACTCAGGGTCAAATCGAAATTTCGAATCTGTACACAAATAACTATTCAGGTTTGGTCTAGTCATCGCATTGAACTTATAACTATTAGTTGGACAACATATTGTAATATAATATTATGTTGGCGTAAATCAGAAAACAACTATTGGTGGAAAACGAACTTGACGATAATATTTTTTTTTTTTTTTTAATGTTTGCCAAAGATATACTTTAGGGGATTGTATGCAGTCTGTTTTTAAGGAGCTTTGTACAGGCAATATTAACGAAAAAAGAGGTTTTAATAACTTTAGACCATGTCATTTATTTATAGGCAAATTTGTAAAAGCTACAAGGTGTTATTTTTAATTAAAAATATTTTTTCTATGAGTAAAAGCAATTTTGGTTTTTTTTAGATCAAATAGTCAGCAAAAATGTTGACTACACAAGATAGTCCAATTTCAATTATTGTGGAGAGATTTGAGTTCTTCGGCTACTTAATTATGTTATGCAGAAAGCTGAATCTCATTCATAAATGACAGTTTCTTGTAACTAAATAAATATAATTTGCAATTTTTTCAAAATAAAAATCCGATTTTTTTTTATAAAAAATCTCTTCCCTAGCAAATACTAAAAAATATAAATATTTAAATAATGTCTCAATTTTTAATATAGTATAGTATAAAATATTTTCAAAGAGAAACACTACACATTTTCAATTAATTTATGAATAAACTGGTGTAGGGCATTAAAATAATTACCCGGTATAACATTTTTATGCTATGGTTTTAATACCCTTTTTTTTTACTTTGCTTATTAGAGAAAAATAATTATATAAATACTCACAGTCTGATATAAAACTATTATCTTTAAAACTATCTAATTTTTCCAATAAATTAGGATCTTCTAAAATGAATAATTCAGCTGTGGACAATTTAGATAGTGTCTTGTATTTCAAAATCTGAAAGACCCACATAATAGTATTAGTATTATTACTAGTATAATATACAGTTCTTGTCGTCAAATACCGAATGTAATTATGTACACTAGGCTTGCAGTTTTACTTAAGATAGGTAAACAAATATGTTTAATGAAATTAAAGAGGCCCTGGAAATCATTAGTCCGTCACCTAAATAAGTACAAACTAGTTTTTATATATTTACATTTGTTATATAGTTTCTTATACATGTTGACGAGTTGTCATATGTGCTTGATATCTCGCCGCCGCCTGGTACCATGGGCAAACTATTCAAAGAAACCTGAAAGACATACACTAATATCAGTAGGTTATAACTTTTGAGGTAATAACTAAAAAACATAATATAAACCATACAATTTTCTATTCCAAAAATGTACGAAAAAAATAATACATAGCGGTAGGTATAATAGAATATTGAGATGAAATCAAACTGAACAATAATAATGAAATAGTTAAAATTTAGCCCAAACTCTATATTTACTTACAATAACACCGAACAAATACACTGCAAACAGCATAACACTCGTGTTGGATTTCATCGTAAATACCTAAAACAATAAAAAGGTCATCATTTTTATAAATAATAATATTGAAACGAAAAAAAAATATGAAAACAGCAGTTGCAATTTAAAACATCATTGCCTAAATAAAAAAAAAATATCATTTTTTTAATTTATAATAACCCTGGTACAAAATTTTCCAAAGTTGTTAGCGCTCTAAAAAAATACCGAAAAAAAAGTTTAAAACTTGGATACTTAATAAAAAGTTAAATATGGTAAAATTTTAATGTTAAAATGTAAACGTTACCAAATTTTAATTTTTTTTTAGAGAAAACAATTATATATGTTTCAGTTGTAATGATTTTATGTTGGCAATAAAAAAAACAATTTTAAATTTTAAAGAAAAACATTGTCCTACGATACCATTGTCTTACGAAAAAGATTTTCAAATATCGCTTACTTTTTTGCTAGATAAACTTAACGCAAAGAAACTCAAAAACACACTAATACTGTTCCGCTAAATGCTCGGGTTGCCTTTTGTTGGTTGGATTTGCGACTCTTCGCATACGCCATACTCTTGTGTTTACTTAAGAAAAATATGCTTTATTCAAGATGTTATTATGATGATAACAAACTTCTAAGCCAATCGGACTCAATTGTTCACGCCCTACTTTTCGCTACTTTGTCCGGTCGGTGTACTGCGTACTTACAAGAATGTGACACACCTAAAGTTAAATAGAAAAACATAGGCATGTCTGCATTAGAATATAACGGCATTTTTTAAATATGCTTTTGTTAGATGTAATCTAAGTGGAAATACTTAAAGTTTCCACCTTGAGAGAACTGTTATACTTTATAGATACAATTTTTATAGAAATCAAGTTTGGTTTTTGGACATAATATCACTATGCGTGTTCTTTACATTCAAATCAAATGTAATAATTATAAATTTGTATAATACAATAATTATGTATATAACAAAATAGTTATTCGCCATAGTTATTGAAACATAGTTCAAACATTTGAATAAACAAACGACAAAACAAAATAAGGTTAAGAAAAATAACTTGTTTTCGATAAACAACAAACTATATATAATAATATCGTATGGTGTTGTTTGTAATTTTCGCGTGATAAAATACAATAATAAAGCTATACAAAAATTGTGGAAAACAACTTTATAAAATGTAAAAAAAATGTATCGATGGCTTATGTGTAAGCAATAGTTTTAACCACTGATTATAAATAGTATTTACAATCAATGGTTTAACTAACTACAATTGAAATGCAGTTTTAAAAAATAAAATATTAATGATTAGACATAAAAGGGTCTTCTAGATTCCACCAAGAGCATAATTTGCATAACTTTAATTTTATATGAATATTTACCCCGATCCCTCTTTTTTTTCATTATTTATATTTCTAGTGATGCTTAAAAAAAATGAACAATATTAATTTTCTAAAACCATATTTAAATTTTAGATTATAAGTCTGACAACTTAATACATTACAGGGAGCTTCAGCTTGAACTTTTGAATTTAAGAAGTGGACTTGCAAACAATCTTATGATAAATATCGGATAGGAACTTGAAAAAATAGCAATTAATGATTAATCAATTTTATAATACTACAAGCCTACACAGGTGTATAAAAAAACAAAATGATTAGTTTGTGATAATGTAAAATTAGACGACCTAGAACCAATATCTTTATCATATAGGTATTCAGTCTGTGACAAATAAATTACTATTGTCAAAACTCGAAACCCTCCTAATAAAAGTAGTGATCACTGGCAATAGATTCTATTTATTTTATTTATAACTGCATTTAAAGACTATTTAAAACAATACAACTTAATGCATTTTAACCGTACTGCATGCATTCTTATTGCTGAAAATATATTTTATATTCACATAAAAATATCTTGCGAATATATAGATGTTTTTTTTTTTTTACAAAATTTACTATAATACACAGGTTTTTCTGTTCGAATAAAGATCACAGCGATGACGTATCCTACATTTGTATGTACCATAGTATATTTTCCACAACATGTTTGTGCCTTTGTAATGGCGTTAACACATATGGACATTCAAAATCGTTTATGGTAAAACAACAACAATTCGCATAAACAGCACCACAATGACCTAAATTCTTTTTTTTTGCTGTCAAAATGAACTTGCGACCGCATATTTTTGTGTCTAAGTACGCATTTTGAAACAAAAATATTTTTTCAACGAGCGTTTTTGTTTGTTGAAAAAACAAATTTTTTGTAATTTTACAAATTAATAAAAAAAAATTGCACTTTTTGATTATTATTATATATCAATTTAACAAATCTAGGCACAGTGTATTTTTATTTTCTGGGTACTATATTTCTCTTCTGTAAACTAGTTTTTAAGGATTTCGTTGTAGACAGTATCGTCTGAAAAATTTTTATGTCGATTTAAAATGATTATTTTTACATTAACTTTGATAGTATTGAGGATACCTTATTAGTAGTTAAATTTATTATAAGACTATCATAACCTCTATTGATACAGAATTTCCAAAAAAAACAGCTTCTCGCCCTTAATTACATTTTTGGCAAACATTTTGTTGATCATAATTTTTATATTCGTATAATATTATTTGAATATAAAGATGTGTTTTTTTTTTACATACTTACTATAATACACAGGTTTTTCTATTCGCATAAAGACCACAGCGATGATGTATCCCACATTTTTGTTTATCAAAGTATATTTTCCACAACATGTTTGTGCCCTTGTAATGGCGTTAACACATATGGACATTCAAAATCGTTTTTCGTAAAACAACAACAGTTCGCTTAAACAGCATCGCAATAACCTGAATTCTTATTTTTTTGGCTATCAAAATAAACTTGGGACCGCATATTTGTTGTGCCTAAGTACACATTTGGAAACATAAATATGTTTTCAACGAGCGAATTTTTTTTTGTTGAAAAAACACATTTTTCGTAATGCCACAAATTAATGAAAAAAATAAAATTGATAAAAATACAACTCTTCGGTTACACTCTTTGATTTATAATCAGGGTTATTCTAACAAATTTTAGGCACAGTATTTTTTTATTTTATGGGTCCTATATTTCCCTGTCTATAATTATGTGTTGTGCTGAAAAAAAAGGTCTAAAAAGGAACATACTACTATTCAAATTCGTTAAAAAAAATATAAAAGAAAGAAAATTAGTTTTAATTACAACAATTTGGCGGATAGTGTACAAGTACATGAAACCTGTTAATTAAACATGTACAATAAACCATGCAATATCATATTCTTGGCAATAATATACTGAATGTGTGTGAGTGTATTTTTGACCCGAAATGTTATATTTTCCAAATATTAGTAGTAGTTAAAGTATATTTTTCAAATAAATAAAAATTTATCAGACATTAATTTTTTCACTGCTTATATTTAACAAATTTTGCATTCCACCACTCACACATACTCACAGCGGATTGTTTTTAAGGAGTTTAATATAGGCAATATTTAAGAAAAAAGGGTTGTAACGAATTTCGACCATATCAGTTTTTGTCAGATTAATTTGGATAAGCTTTAGGGTGCTATACTTTTTAACGTAAACAATTTTTTCTATGAGTTAAAATCATTTGGGTGGTACATTAAACCAATTTAGATCTAAAAGCCTGATGAAATGACGCCTACATAGAATGATCAAGATTTAATTCTGTAAACATAATTGATTTCATCGGCCTTATTTCCGGCTTGTTGTGGAAGTCGATTTTTGAAAAACTAAATATGGTTAAAAAATCCGTTTAACTAATAAGTAATAGCCATAACCCAGCAGTGGTTTTGATGCACCACATCTTTCGATATCGTGAGATTTTGAGTAGTATTAGTATTAGGGTCAATTACTTAGCAAAGAGGACCATTTTATAGTTAGTTATGTGATTTGTTGTGTTTTCTACTTGTTGTTTGTTGTTGTTATATTATTCTGTTACATAGAATAGTATTATATTTAATACAAGATATGAAGGACTAATCTATTTGCTTAGTTGACGGCGGGACGACATTTAAAATTGGCCTTAAATCTTCAGTAGATAATAAATGATTATTTTGGCCAAACATAGTAAACCCAATTGGAGGGAAATATGCCGTGTGTATTGTTTAACTGAACGTGACAAATTAAAAAAAAAACAACGATTTTTAATGTATAGTATATTATGTAAAAACAAACAATGAAGCTGCAATCAAACAAAACAAAAGTATAATAATTTACACATCATCAATACTTTTGTTTTATGCATAAAATTTCACGTCTCTTATGAAAATAGTGATGACCTTATTAAGTTTATCATCAGTATCTGCATAATATTCTAAAGCATTTAATTCATTATTGCCCTTCTTCTCGTTTATTTTCGTTTTTGTTATATCGAGTAAATCTTCACGTGCTTCTTTTTCTTGCTTTTCTGAATTATTTTGTTTTACTCCAAGAAGAATGTTGCGCCTGGCCTCGGTAACCCGTGCAATAAAATCAGGGTCTAATTGAAATTTCGAATCTGTGTACAAATAACATTTCAGATTTGGTCTGGTCGTTGTCAAAAAAATATTGCAAAAGGTGTACTTGAGGGGATTGTACAGGCAATATTTACGAAAAAAAGAGGTTTTATAAATTTAGACTATGTCATTTAATTTAATGGCAAATTTGTAAAAGCTACAAGGCATGTTTTTTTTAAATTTAAAACATTTTTTTATGAGTGAATTTTATTTTTTTTTATACCAAAAAGCCAGCCAAAATGGCGACTACATAGGATGGTCCAACTTCAATTCTTGTAGAGAGATTTGAGTTCTTCGGTTACTTTACTATGTTATGCAGAAAGCTGAATCACATTAAAGAATGCCAGTTTCTTGTAATTAAATTAATACAATTTGCAATTTTTTCAATATTTATTTTATAAAAAATCAAAAATCTCTTTCCTGCATAACCTAGTTAAGTTGCCAGTGAATTTTATATCTTCTAACTAGTCGACATTTTTGTCTGGCTTTTTTGTCTAAAACGTCTACTGTAGACAAATACACACTTTTCTTTAAAGTATTTTGAATACCGGCAGATTCTTCAACGTCTTACACTAGTTTACTATTGAAATAATTGCAATTTTGTAGCTATTCTTTTTGAAAATATATTTGTTTATGCTTTATTACTGTATGCGATAATACCCACTTA